TGACCCTGATGTTGACACCCAGAATCTTTGTGGCTGTCTGGCTATTCCATGCAAGGGGCTCTAGAGAGGTGGGGGACAGGGAAGATTTGATAGCTGTGGGAGTAGATTTAGCCTTTGCCATGTAAGAGGGACCTAGGGGTGGTTGTGGCCAGCCAGTGACTCGTGGCCTAAGATGCAGAATGAGGTTCTAGGACAGATTTTTCCCTGACTGACCTGCTGGTCCCCCACACACAGGTATTTGGGCACAGTAAAGTAAATGGTGAACCGACGTGGGCACTCCTCCTGACAGCTCTCATCGCCGAACTAGGCATTCTCATCGCCTCCCTGGACATGGTGGCTCCCATTCTATCCATGTGAGCTGGCCAGGGCAGGGAGGGGCTGGGTGGGTGGACCCTGCTGCCATCCTCCCTCACAGGAATGGTCTTGGGAAGGGCACCCTTAGTACCCTTCCCCCCAAGGCCCTGGCATCTCCCCGTGGCTCTGGTGCTGAGGGCACAGCTAGGAGATGTGCTAGTTTGGTTTAGGAATGTTTGCCTGGCAGGGCTTGACCTACCCTCTTCAGTCAGGAAAAGAAGTTCATTAGTTAGAAAGTTCTAGAATGAGCTGGGCATTTGAGTCTCTGCTAGTCCTTGGGCGTGATGGTAGTAGTATGTCTGGGAGCTCCTGAGGAAGAGCAGGTCACCTCTGCACACGTTGGGATCCTCACGTCTGTCCATGTTGGGGTTCACTCGCGTGCCTCTTTGTACATATGGTTCCATCGCAGATGCTGCTCCTTTATTATGCCATTCGCTCAGCCTGCAGAGCTGAAAGCTCCCAGGAGCCCCCAGCCGTAGCCAGCCTGCAGGAGTCAGCCCCATCCTGTTTCTCTGAGCTGTCCTTGTCCACCTCAACACTCATTGCCCTGTCTGCAGCCCTGACCCCACTTCTGCCTGCTGACACTTGGCTCCAAAGCCACCTTCCCTGTGGGTCCTCCATCCAGTCCAGGGAGGAGTGGACTCTCTTGAACTCAGTCTGCCTCATGACTGCTGAGAGCCTGAGCCAGGAGGGCAGGGACACTGGGTCCCCTGACTGCCCAGAAAGCTGCTCAGTGCCGGCCACCTCCCTGTGCTGCAGGTTCTTCCTGATGTGTTACCTGTTTGTCAACTTGGCTTGTGCTGTGCAGACACTCCTGCGGACCCCCAACTGGCGGCCCCGGTTTAAGTACTATCACTGGTGAGTGCCGCTGGTCAGAGCACCTGGGGTGAGCCAGGTCCAGCATCTCAAGAGATTGTGAGGACCAGGAACCCCTTTCTGGACAGGGTTTGAATTTCCTGGGCAGTGACTGCTGTTGGTACAATACTGGTGAGAAGGATTATAGGGCTGTGGTGTGTGGCCTGCTTCTCCCACACTCTTATGACTTTGCACGTGACAAGGCCTCCACGGCACAGGATGGACTGTGACCTGGAACCTAAGGATCTTGCCCTGATCTTGCCTCCCCTGCTCTCGGCCCAGGACATTGTCTTTCCTGGGCATGAGCCTCTGCCTGGCCCTGATGTTCGTCTCGTCCTGGTACTACGCTCTGGTCGCCATGCTTATCGCAGGCATGATCTACAAGTACATCGAATACCAGGGGTGAGTAAAGTGGTGTCATCTGGATGCCACCTAGCACGTGTACAGCGCTGAGGGTGCCACGTTGGGTCACAGGGTGTGCATGGTGGGGAGCATCAGCCAGCATGGGAGCTGGGGAACTGGGACTCGGGGCCTTGGTCCTCATCCATGTACACACACATGTACACACATACCTGGTGTGAGCAGGGCTTCACTGTCTGTGGCGGTATGTGCAGGGCTGAGAAGGAGTGGGGTGACGGGATCCGAGGCCTGTCTCTGAGTGCTGCCCGCTATGCGCTGTTACGGCTAGAGGAGGGGCCTCCTCACACAAAGAACTGGCGGTGAGTTCACACTCAGACTGGTCAGGACCGACTTGAGAGTGGGAGGGTCAAGAGGGGCTTGCTTCCCCTTCCTAGTCCACATTTCCCATCTTGGGATCATCGGGGCACCCACTTGTCTGTTGAGTCGTTGGGTCCATACTTTCCAAACCTGTGGGACTCATCCAAGGTGGGATGAGGAGGAGGATGGAAACCTGGCCCTGCTGTCAGGCTACCTCCCCATTTGGCCATCACAGGCCCCAGCTGCTGGTGCTGCTGAAGCTAGATGAAGACCTCCATGTGAAGTACCCCCGGCTCCTCACCTTCGCCTCCCAGCTTAAGGCTGGGAAGGGCCTGACCATTGTCGGGTCGGTCATCCAGGGCAGCTTCTTGGAGAGCTATGGCGAGGCCCAGGCTGCGGAACAGGTGCTTGCTACAGGGGGCAGGGCCTGCTGGCAGGGAAGGGAAGGGAATAGCCCAGCCTGGCTAGTCTGGTGGACCGCATGGGTGCCAACTGAGAGATACAGCAAAGTGTACAGCTGTCTCATCTTGGAAACACATGTGGGCAGCTGGCCGCCCTCTCCCACCCCTAAATTGTTATATGCCTTAGTGGGCTCTGGGAGGGAGTCAGGCAGAGAAGTTGGTGGCCCTGCCTTCTGACCCCAGTGTGTTCTCACAGACAATCAAGAACATGATGGAGATTGAGAAGGTGAAGGGCTTCTGTCAGGTGGTGGTGGCCAGCAAGGTGCGTGAGGGGCTGGCTCATCTCATCCAGTCTTGCGGCCTCGGTGGCATGAGGCATAACTCAGTGGTGCTGGGCTGGCCCTACGGCTGGAGGCAGAGTGAGGATCCACGTGCCTGGAAGACATTTATTGGTGCGTCGGGGCTTGGGCCCGGGCTGGGTGGGCCTTGGTGGGACGGGACAGGGGCCAAGCGAAGTGGCAGAGGCAGGTAGGTGAGAGGCCGGCAATGAGCAGAGCCCCTCCCCCCAGACACTGTGCGCTGCACCACGGCCGCCCACCTAGCCCTACTTGTGCCCAAGAACATCGCCTTCTACCCCAGCAACCATGAGCGCTACATGGAGGGCCACATCGACGTGTGGTGGATCGTGCACGATGGCGGCATGCTCATGCTGCTGCCCTTCCTGCTGCGCCAGCACAAGGTGTGCGGGCGGGCGGGCTGGCGGGCGGGCCCTGGGACGGGTGGGTTCGGCCACACACCCACTTACCCTGCTGTAACAGGTGTGGAGGAGGTGCCGGATGCGCATTTTCACAGTGGCCCAGATGGACGACAACAGCATCCAGATGAAGAAGGATCTGGCTGTCTTCCTGTACCACCTACGCTTTGAGGCTGAGGTTGAGGTGGTAGAAATGGTGAGGCCCTTCCCCACTGTTTATATTGGGGACTGACCTCTTCCCTTCCAGTCCTCATGTGGCCCTTCTGCCCCCAGCACAACAGCGACATCTCAGCCTACACCTATGAGCGGACACTGATGATGGAGCAGCGGTCCCAAATGCTGCGGCAGATGAGACTGACCAAGACCGAGCGGGAGCGAGAGGTCAGTGGACTCGGTTTTAGCCTGGGGCAGGGGACAAGATTGGGTCTGTGGATACATCATCAGGAGTGTCAGAATGACTGTCTCCAGGGCCATTCAAGCCAGTTTGAATTCTCATGGGGTCAGCCAGGCCTCCCTCTAGCCACAGCATCCTCCCCAGGCCCAGCTGGTCAAGGACCGTCACTCAGCCCTGCGCCTGGAGAGCCTCTACTCAGACGAGGAGGATGAGTCTGCAGCTGGGGCCGACAAGATCCAGATGACGTGGACCCGAGACAAGTACATGGCAGCTGAGCTGTGGGACCACATTCATGCCCCTGACAACTTCCGGGAGCTGGTGCACATTAAGCCGTAAGTGCAAACTAAAGGGATCCAGCCACCTGAGGGTCTTGGAGTGGAGGGGGGTTGGGACAGCTAAGTTCTGTAAGTGGGGTGAGACTCACTAAGAGTGGTCTGCTGTGTCACTTGCAGGGACCGGTCCAATGTACGGCGTATGCACACAGCCGTTAAGCTCAATGAAGTCATCGTTGCACGCTCCCACGATGCCCGCTTGGTCCTCCTGAACATGCCCGGCCCACCCAAGAACAGTGAGGGCGATGAGAACTGTATCCCTTTGTGGAGATGTGGGCAGTGGGAGGTTAGACCAAGTGTTCCTCTCTCTGAGTGGAAAAGTAGCTTGCCTCATTCTGATGCATGTGCAGACCCCTTCGCCTATACCCCTCCTACCCCACTGAACCCTGCTCACCGTGCTGCCTCCTTGACCTGATATTCTGCAGACATGGAATTCTTGGAGGTGCTGACCGAGGGCCTAGAGCGGGTACTGCTGGTGCGTGGTGGTGGCCGCGAAGTCATCACCATCTATTCCTGAGCCTCGGGCAGCTCTTTGGCCTAGAGTGGAGCTGTCCACTTAACAGATCCCTCCCAGCACCTGTCTGCCAGCCTCAATATGCTCAGCCCTGCCTGGTACTCAGCTTGCTAGGTCTCCATGGAGATGGGCCTTGGCTTGGCACGAGCGATGGATCTGAGGTCCTGTGACACCCAGGGGGGCATGGAGCCTTTCCCACCTTGCACCCAGGACACCTATCCTAGCAGCAGAGAGTGGTGGGGGCTGATAAAGAGTTTGAAGGTAGTGGGCCCAGCCTGGCCCAGAAGCACTATTTATTGCATATTTATTGTTTGGATGTCATCATCAGAGGAAGAGAGGGCAGCACAGGAGGGGGTCTGGCCCAGCCTGCCTGCGGGAAGCCCTGGCTCAGGCTGCTGTGGGCTGTGACCCCCACCTAACCAAGCCAAGTGGAGCTGGCCAAGCAGAGGCCTGACTTTTTTCAATAAAACATTGTATACTTCTGGGCTGCCTGCTGCCCTAGCTCTGTTTCTCCTGGCGCCAAGCAAAGAAGGCGGGACTGAACCCAGAGACTGTGCCCCTCTCTGGTCATTCCTAGCCACCCTCATTGGCCAGGCTGCCCCTCCCACTGTCCCTAAGGCCCTCCCACTGCTCGCCAGATAAGGCTGGCCCAGGTCTGCTGCAGTGGGCAGTAGGCTGGAATGGGGCCGCCCGGCTCCCCATGGCAGTGGGTGCTGCTGCTGGGGCTGCTGCTCCCTCCTGCCACACCCTTCTGGCTCTTCAATGTGCTCTTCCCCCCGCACACCACGCCCAAGGCTGAGCTCAGTAACCACACACGGCCTGTCATCCTCGGTAAGCCCCCACTAGGCCCCGAAGCACCAGGCTAGACCTTGGGATGCCTGGACCCAGCTTCCTGTGGCAAACCAGGGGCTCTCTTGCCCCTGCATTAGCCCTAATACCTGACCGGGTGTCCCCAGGGGCCAAAGGTTGGTCTTCTAGAGAATGTTCCTCCTCCTCCTCCTCTTCTTTTGTCCTGTCCAGGGGTTGGGGGATGCCTGAATGCTTAACCAAACATTACATGCTCTGGGCACTGCAGCCATACCAGGCCCCCAGCCCATGCCACCACTCCCTCCTCAGCCCCAAACCCCATCCAGAATAAGATGCCCAGTCCATGGCAGGAGAGCCCCATTAAGCCCAGACCCTTACCCACACCCCAGCCCCCAACCCCTCATGCCTCTTTGTTCTCACCTTGGACTTTGGCAATAATAAGAGCCTGGCGGGATGTTTGCTTTGCAAGGGTCAGTGGCCTTGGTCCCTGCACCTTCTATGCTTGAGGGGAACCTGGGTTCTGGGTTACTGGGGGTGGACTGGTGGAGGGGAGTGATCAGAGAGAGGATCCATCTCCTAAGTGCCTGGGGTTTGATGGTAAGGGAGACCAATGCAGTGTAGGGCTGGTGACTGCAATGTTGGGGCGATACTGGGTTGGGGCCATGGGGATCTAAGGGGTCCAGAGTGAGGGCCGGTGCCTGCAGTGCCTGGCTGCCTGGGGAATCAGCTAGAAGCCAAACTGGACAAACCAAAGGTGGTGAACTGGATGTGCTACCGCAAGACAGAGGACTTCTTCACCGTCTGGCTGGACCTCAACATGTTCCTGCCCCTGGGGGTGGACTGCTGGATCGATAACACCAGGCGAGTACTAGCCCTCTACCCCAGCCCAGGCCTCGTCCTTGGTTACTGGCTGCTGAATGTCCCGATGCCCCCAGGGTTGTGTACAACCGCACCTCTGGGCACATGTCCAATGCCCCTGGTGTGCAGATCCGTGTCCCCGGCTTTGGCAAGACGTACTCTGTTGAATACTTGGACAACAACAAGCTGGCAGGTGTGTGTACTGGGGGAAAGGGCGCAGGCTCTTGGAGCCCAACCTGGAGTGCACACTGCTGGTTCTTCCCCACAGGCTACATGCATACGCTGGTGCAGAATCTAGTCAACAATGGCTATGTGCGGGATGAGACTGTGCGGGCTGCCCCCTACGACTGGCGGCTGGAACCCAGTGAGTGTCTGGATAGCCGGCTCAGGTGGGGGCAGTGGCTCCCCTCCATCCCTGACCCCACCTACCACCTGCAGGCCAGCAGGAGGAGTACTACCAGAAGCTGGCTGGCCTGGTAGAAGAGATGTACAATGTCTACAGGAAGCCTGTCTTCCTCATCGGCCACAGCCTTGGCTGCCTGCATTTGCTGTACTTCTTGCTGCAGCAGCCCCAGTCTTGGAAAGACCAATTTATTGATGGCTTCATCTCTCTCGGGGCGCCATGGGGTGGATCCATCAAGCCCATGCAGGTTCTGGCGTCAGGTAAGGGCTGTTTCCCCATAGCACAGTCTGGGCTTGCCCTCCCTCCTGCTTCTGGTCACTGCCTTCTCTCACTGGCCTCTGGAAATGTTTTCCCCCCATGGGTCCCCAAGAGCAGTAAGCCTAGCCTGGATCACTAGGATGGCTTCTGTCAAAGTCACAGGGATGGCAAATGGGAAATAAACAAATGCAGAGGAAGTGATCCAGCCATCTGAAGTTCTGTTCACCTTGGCCCCAAAGCTCCACCTCCTCAGCTTCCAACTATCTACCGCTCTCAAGAGCCCCCCTGCCCAGGGGTCCCTCTCTGAGGGCAAGGCCATAGGACTCCTTCCTGTCTTTCCCTGAGACTGAGACCAGGGACCCAGCACTGATATCACTGCTACTTGCTGGGCAACTAGATTCAGCTCACTGACTAGTGGGCTAAACAGACCATGTATCAGTCACACTAACCAATGCCAGACAGCCTCACTTCTTCCTTCTCTGACAACCCTTGCCCCAAGCACCACAAACCCCAGAGCACAACAGACACTTGACTGAGGGAAGAGTCAGCACCCAATCATCTGCATCCCGAAGATGCTGCCGTGCCTCCCTTCCGAGACCCCACAGAATTGTCATTGGGACTTTTCATGTAATAAGCACACTTTGAGCACCTCCTGAATGCCATGCCTTCCCTCGAGCCAGTATCTGTATTTGGCAGTAATAAAATTCCACATCGAGCTGAGCCTGGGCCTTGACTGGCTTTCCACACTGCTTGCTCCTTTATCCACAGGTGACAACCAGGGCATCCCGATCATGTCCAGTATCAAGCTGAAAGAGAAGCAGCGCATGACAACCACCTCTCCCTGGATGTTTCCCTCCCGCCTCGCGTGGCCTGAGGATCACATCTTCATTTCCACACCCACCTTCAACTACACGGGCCGGGATTTCCAGCGCTTCTTTTCAGACATGCACTTTGAGGATGGCTGGTACATGTGGTTACAGTCACGAGACCTGCTGGCAGGGCTCCCAGCTCCGGGGGTGGAAGTCTACTGTCTCTTTGGCATGGGCCTGCCTACACCCCGCACTTACATTTACGACCACGGCTTCCCTTACACGGACCCTGTGGCTGTGCTCTATGAGGATGGCGATGACACGGTGGCCACACGCAGTATGGAGCTCTGTGCCCAATGGAAGGGCCGTCAGTCACAGCCTGTGCACGTGCTGCCCCTACCTGGGACGCAGCACCTCAACATGGTCTTCAGCAACCAGACACTGAAGCACATCAATGCAATCCTGCAGGGTGCCTACCGTAGTAGTGCCCCTGTTCCCGTGTCTGCCAGCCCAGGGACTTTATCCCCTGAATAAACTTTCTTTTGCTGCTCTGAGCCCAGAGGTCTGTGTTGTGGGTTAAGGGGGAAGCACTATGGTCCACATACCAGGATTCATTCCTCCGAAGCCAGAAACTTTGTGGTGCATGGGACAAGCTGGGCCCTATAAAAGTGGTACTGAGAGAAAGACATTAAAGCGGAGAGTAAAGAAAGTTTGGTTATAGGAAACCTCTGGGAGGAAAAAGGTGTTCAGCTTCTCAGTCTCCAGATGAGAAGCCTGTCTTGTGTCTACGCCCCTCTACCAGGTATGGGGACTGGATCCAGCTGTACACAACTGTGAGATGGAGGCATGCAAAATGAAGGGTCTACAAAGGTTACATGTCCCCATCTCCCCTATTCCTGGCAATCAAAAGAGAAAGCAAGAGCCCACCTCTGTACAGGACCTTGAGTACCAGCTATGTGGGTAACAGGCACAAGAGTTTAGCATCTGGGCAAGCTTTGGTGGCCTAGTGGCAAGAAGCTGCACTACAACCAGAGATGAGCAATTCAAGTCCACCAGATGCTCTGCTAGAAGAGGGACAATCTCCTCCTTTACAAGTCAGATCCAATTTGACGATACACACAAAGAGTTTAGCATCTGGTGGTGGTAGTGAGGTGATAGCCATTAATCATATCAGTTCATTAAATGGAGCTAAGTGTTTGTGAGCAAATTACAAGAGCAAGAAGCAGCAAGAAATCTGATGAGCATGGGCCACTAAGTATTTGGGCTTGAACAGAAGAACAGGGTGCAGCTGCAAAAGGGTTTTGACCAGGGATAGGGTTCAGTCAGCCTGTGTGGAAATACAGGGAAGAGACCAGTGCAGTGCTGAGATGAGAGGACGAGAGCTGAGATGAAGGTAGTAAGGAAAAAGATGTGCCCAGATAGGTGTTCGTTTGGGAGATGAGGTTACAAGGCTTGGCAGTGGGTAGAGGTGTGTGTGCCACAAGACCACTGCATGGCCAGCCAGTCAGGGTGCTCCCCCTAAGACACAAAGATCAAGGTCCAACATGGCTCAGGATTGAGGTCTCAAGGAGGCAAGCAAGTAAGGGGACAGGAGTTAGAAGGGTAGTGACAAGGGATGGAAGGAATGTCAGTCTTGCATGGTGTTTTTGGGAGACTGGCATCTTTGCAGGGAGAACTGACCACAATCTCAGCCAGATTGGCAGGAGTTTACCGTCTGATCAGAGAGCTCAGGGTGCAAGAGGCACCTCCCTCTTCTAGCTGCCTATAACCAGATGAAGGTGAAAGTGAAAGACAATGCCCCAAGGGACCGAAATCCTTCAAGTAAAGGCAAAAGCGAAAGCAGAAGCATAAATGAGCTGCCCTTCGCTGAGGAAGGCCTCCCACCGCTGCTTGCTCTGCTCACTTGGCTCATCAGGCCTGGTCCCTGGACCTTCCAGCCTGCCCTGATATGCTGAAGCCAACGTTGGAGCCCCGGGGAGGTTTCTCCTTTGAAAACTGCCACAGGTGTGCATCTGGGAAGGGGTTGATCCCGTGCCACTGATCTCTGCCACGAGGGTGGGGATCCCTGGATTTTTGCTTCTGGTAGTTGTGGTGGTGAGAAACGTGGTGCGAATGGCTCATGTTCCCAGGCTTAGCCAAGGAAGAGAAGAGTCCAAAATCGAGTTATAGGGTTGGAGGATCCCAGAAATTAAGCCTGTACCAACATCCCTTTCCAGAAATGCATCCTTGGAACGGGTCCTCCCAGAGCTTCGGGTCCCTCAGGCACGCAAGACTGGAACTACCATCGCGGGTCTCATTTTCAGGGTGAGCGGGAGTTGGGGGGAACACCGAGCGACCGACAGTGGGAACTAGTGGGTTCTGAATCAACGTCCTTTCAATCTTCCTAGGACGGCGTCATCCTAGGCGCGGACACGCGGGCCACTAATGACTCTGTGGTGGCAGACAAGAACTGTGAGAAGATCCACTACATCGCCCCTAAAATCTAGTGAGCACCTCCCAGGCCCGATAGCCCGCGCCTGCACCTCGTCTGCACGCCTCCCCAGCCCGCTGCGGCTTAGCCCACATCTTCCCTCCCCTCCCTTCGCCCTCAGTTGCTGTGGGGCTGGAGTGGCCGCTGACACCGAGATGATGACACGGATGGCGGCGTCCAAGATGGAGCTACAAGCGCTGTCCACCGGCCGCGAGCCCCGCGTAAACACAGTCACTCGCATTCTACGCCAGACTCTCTTCCGGTGCTGGGCGGAGACTAAAAGCAGCAGGCGTGGCCACGGATGGGAGGGCGGGACTAAGAGGAAGTGGGACTAGTGAGAGGCCGAGCGGCCGGAAGGGGCTGGCTTAGGAGACGGGAAGGAATAGTGTCAGTGGTGTGGCGCCCAGGTCTGAATCTTGATAGACCGGGTGGTATGTCCACCCTGCTGGCAGGTTTCGCGGTCACGTGGGAGCGTCTTTGATCGTGGGCGGCGTCGACGTCCTAGGACCGCAGCTCTACAGCGTGTATCCCCATGGCTCGTACAGTCGTCTGCCCTTCGCAGCCTTGGGTGGGCGACTCTCTCTTTTCCTAGATCCTCATCCCTGCGACCATGCCTCATGGTTGCAACTTTCCCGTCCCCATCCCTCAATGGGGCAGCCACAGCTGACCTCAGCTGTCTCTTTTGCCTGCAGGCTCTGGCCAGGATGCAGCCATGGCAATGCTGGAGGACCGGTTCCAACCTAACATGACGGTGAGCGACCTGTCTCTCCACCATGTAGTCACTGGTGGAAAGTGCACCTGGGAGCTGAGGAGACACAGACTTTCACCCTGTCAGGGATTTGGGGAAGGTTCCTTGGAGGTGACGACTGAGGGGCGTGAGGAGCTGGGGTGGAAAGGAAAACCCCGGTGGTCCGGATATATGGCTGTCCAGTGCGAAGACTTGATTATCTGGAGGCAACTGGCCATTACCCCTGTACCAAATCTGGAATGTGGATTTTGTTTGGGTGGGAAGTCACAGAGGAGGTTGCTAAGCCTAGGGAAGGAAACTCAGGAGTTGAGAGCAAGACTGAATGGAGACTTGCTGGTGGTAGCAAAACAACAAGCACATAGAGTACTCTGAAAAATTTGTAGAGGTGTCAGTGGGCAGAGGGAACCTGGGGTCTGTGGAAAAGGCAGGCAGGGGAGTGGTGTAAAGGGAAAGATGACTGGGGATGCAATGACTATTCCAAGTTTAAGGATTACCATAGTCCTCAGGCTGTGGCCTGATGGTGACACCAAAAGGGAACATCAGACTTCACACACTCTTTGCCACAGCTGGAGGATGCACAGGGGCTGCTGGTGGAAGCCATCACCGCTGGGATCCTGGGTGACCTGGGCTCTGGGGGCAATGTGGATGCATGTGTAATCACTGGGGCTGGTGCCAAGCTGCTGCGGACACTGAGCTCACCCACAGAGCCCATCAAGAGGTATGTGGGACCCAGGAGGATGGGGCAGGGGGCCTGCAAGGAGAGGACATGATGGGCCACTGCTGAGGCTGGTCCCCTCCCTCCAGACCAGGTCAGTACCGCTTTGCCTCTGGGACCACACCTGTCCTGACCCAAACCTTGGAGCTGCTGGAGGAAACCGTGCAGGCCATGGAGGTGGAGTGAAGTAAGCAGAGGCTTAGAGCTTAAGACAAGAAGGAATAAAACTGGAAAAGGCAAACACTTAAACAGAAAACTGTGTTGTTTTCCAGTAGAGAGGAGTGGGTAGCCAGGGCCCCTTGGCTAGGGTATCCTCGGACTAACAACTCCTTTCTGCTACTCCATCACCTGGCCCAAAAGTGCTGTTCTCCATCACCTCACGTACACAGCCCTCCAGAACTCAGGCCTGGCAAGCACTGAGGGGTCAAGGTGAAAAGCTCACATTTGTTGCCTCTGACCACATCACAGAACCTACCTTGATTTGCTAACATATTGGGTGCTATTGTAAACCTCAAGAAGACTCCATGTGTGGTTCCTATCTAGAGCCTTGGCCCAGGATAAGGGAGACGACACCCCTCACGCAAACCATCTACAGACCCCACTGTAGGTTAAAAGTGATATTAGACAAGTGCTCCTTGGCTCCAGGGGCAAGTTCTCACAGAATGCTCATCCTTACCTACTACATGCTGCAGATCACAGGCACACCAGAGCTGCTTACACTAAGTGGAACTTAAACATTAAGCTGCATAGGGCAGGAGGATTGACTTTTCTAGAATGGCTAAGAATTGGTGGGCTACATGGCTCAAATGGGGAGAAACACTCATTTAACCAAGAAAAAATACTGAGTACCCACTGCCAAAGTGGAACCTGGAACCTTCTAGTCCCCTGGGACCAGAGCACCTTGCCTTTAGAGAGACGGCTGAGCCCTGGGCCTCTGAAACTGTTACAGTTGACCAAATTCTGGAGAGCGTCAACTCCAGGCTGGACATCCCTGGGCCTCTGCTTGTGGCTCCCTGCCTTCCACCCCAATATTTTATGGAAAAATTTAAATAGAAAAGGTGAGATAATTGTACACTGAACACCCTCAGATCTACCACAAATTTGGCATAGTGTTTTATCACACATCAATGCATTCTTATTTTTTGACTGATAGGTTCTTGAATCAGTCAAAGCCCTCCTCCTCCTGGAAGGAGGCCAGGCAACTTAATCATTACAATTTTCCACATAGGGGTGTCTTCTCTTGCTCTCAAGCTCAGCCTGGAACTCAGGGGCAGGAAGGGTTTAGAAGTGAGTGGGTTACTCAAGGGAAGGCTTGGAAGTGGTCACAGATTTGGTAGCAGTCACTCTTTCAATCACTTTAGTTCAAGTGAGTCTGCCAGTTGCTGAGAGCTCACATCTTACCCTTTTACACAACAGCCACCTCAGAAGCATCATCCTGTCATTAAAAATGTGGCTTTGCCTGTGCGGGTTCCATCTCTCTGAGCAAACCTGTGTGAGGGATTAACTGCGATGCTGATTCACAACCTGCTAGAACCTTCCTCCTGGCCACATGGCCCTAACCTTTCCACAACAGAGTTGGCCACAGCTGGATACTCCTCCCACCAGTCAAGAACACCCCTGGGTGCCAAACAAGCTTCTCTGAGCTTGCTCTAGAGCCCCTAATAGTCCTGGGGGAGACCCCTCCCTTAAATTCAGCCACCAGATTATCACATAGATCTAATGCAGAGCATTTGTCCTTGGTGCCTAGAAATCAACCTTGGGATATGAAGTAATTCCAGGGGCCAATCAGAGGCTAGGTCCTGTGGGGTGGAGATGAGAGCCTTACACCTGTGTTCTGTCTGATAAGACTGGACCTCTTTGCGCACAGAATTGGGAGACCTTGACTAAGGAGGTCCTTGACTGGAGCATCAGAGGGGGCTGAGCCCACACAGGTCTGGCCTTAGGCCAAGGCCTTTATCCCAAGGACAGGGAGCCCCATAAATAACCAGCCCCAGGTCTTGACCTCACACCTGCCACAATGCTGCTCCTCAGATTGACCCTTAGCCTGGTCCTCCTTGGCGCCTCTTGGGGTAAGTGGGTTTGGGCCGTCTCTGAATGAACAGGGTCCCAACAGAGACCCAGGGATGATAGCCAGGCTGAATGGGAGGGGAACAGGTGGGCAGAATAGCCAGGAATGTCCTAGGCAAAGGAGAAAGGAGGTTCAAGACAGGGAACCAAGAATGTCTAGAACTAGAGAGGACAGACGCTTGGGCCAGGGACTGGGGACCTGCAGGTCAAGGGAGGTCTGGAAAGTTGGGACATAAAACATACAGTTTAGGACATGTCCTTGGGCTACACAAAAACGTGGATTTTTAGACCTGAAGAGAGCAAGGAGGCTAAAGATATGATTTCCAGACATGGAGGAGTTGTGGGGGGAGTGGCCTGAACTTGAGAGTTACAGAAGAATGGGGAGGGGGACAGTGGAGTAAGCTGGAGAGAAGAGTAGAAGCAAGTGGAACTTAAGAGCTGGTTAGATGAAGATCAGTGAGGCAACTATGAGCTCTCAGAGAAAGGGCAGTCATAAACTTGGCCTCTCTGAGGGGAGAAGAGCCTGGAAGCACCCAGAGTGGGGGTAGAGGGGGCGTGACGTGTGAAAGGCAGCTCCTGACTAGCCCAATGGCCAGGCTGTGGAGTTCCTGCCATCAGACCAGCACTGAGCTTCAGTCAGCGGATCGTCAATGGGGAGAACGCAGTGTCTGGATCCTGGCCCTGGCAGGTGTCTCTGCAGGTGTGTGCTCGCTGGGGCTGGGAAAGGGTCCCAGGGGCTTTGTGCCTTGACAGCAACCTCTAACCCTTGACTCCAGGACAGCAGTGGCTTCCACTTCTGTGGTGGGTCCCTCATTAGCCAATCGTGGGTAGTCACCGCCGCCCACTGCAATGTCAGGTGAGGACTTCCATTCCACTGGCCAGCCCCATCTCCTCCCACCCCTGCTGTGGTTACCCACACATACCCCCTCACACCCCCACTGTGGTTACCCCCATACCTCCTCCCATTTCCTTGTGGTTGCTCCCACCCTGTTACGGTTTCCCCAGCACCTCCTCCCACCCCTGCTGTGGTTCCCCCCACCACACCACCTTTCCCACCCCTGCTGTCGTTACCCCCACACCTCCCACCCCTGCTGTGGTTACCTCAGTTTCCTTCCCTCTGCAGCCCTGGCCGCCATTTTGTCGTCCTGGGCGAGTACGACCGGTCATCCAGTGCTGAGCCTATACAGGTTGTGCCCATCTCGAGGGTGAGTGCACAGGCCGCCCAGGTGGGAAGAGAGGTGGGCAGTGCGGGTGGGTGGGCTTTGGGAACCGGCATACCGTTTCCTGGACCCCCTAAGCACCAACCCCAACCGCCTGTCCCCCTCCTGCCCTTTCTGGTTTGCAGGCCATCACGCACCCTAGCTGGAACTCCATGACCATGAACAACGACGTGACCCTGCTGAAGCTCGCCTCTCCAGTCCAGTACACAGCACGTATCTCACCTGTCTGCCTGGCTTCGCCCTCAGAGGTGCTGCCTGCAGGCCTCACGTGTGTCACCACCGGCTGGGGTCGCATCAGTGGTGTGGGTAGGAATGAGAGCCAAAGAGCCAGCAGGAGGGTCAGGGTGGGGACAGGACATCCTGGGCTGGCCTAAGCACCCCGTTTCCACAGGTAACGTGACGCCAGCACGCCTGCAGCAGGTGGTCCTGCCGCTGGTCACTGTGAGCCAGTGCCAGCAGTACTGGGGCTCCCGTATCACTGACGCCATGATCTGCGCAGGGGGTTCTGGTTCCTCCTCATGCCAGGTAAGTCCTGGCACCACGTCCTGTGCATGGTCCCGTGACACCCCTCCATGCTGACTTTTCCACTCCCCTTTCCTTTCAGGGTGACTCTGGAGGCCCCCTTGTCTGTCAAAAGGGGAGCACGTGGGTGCTCATCGGCATTGTCTCTTGGGGTACATCTGACTGCAATGTGCGTGCCCCTGCCATGTACACTCGGGTCAGCAAGTTCAGCAGCTGGATCAACCAGGTCATAGCCTACAACTAAGCCTACAAGCCCCTCTCCCATCTCAATTAAAGACCTCAGGCTCCATTCAGTGAATTCTCGTTTGTCTTCATGGTTTAAGGGGAACCAGAGGCTCCTGGGGTGGGCAGTGTCCCAGTCCCCACCTGAACTGTGTCTTCTGGCACAGCAGATGTGAGGAGTTAGGCTCTTTCTGGACTCACCAAGCCCACCCTGGGGCCACTGCCCCCCTCTTCCTACAGCACAGAGCCAAGAGTCGCGGAACGAAGGGGCAGCCTTCCCTGCAGAGGGCAGCCTGTTTATTGAGTACAGTTAATACATTTACAAAATGAGTACACAAAATAAATAAGTGCACATTTTCCATCCATGGTCTGTGGCATGAGGGCCCAGTTGGTGGTCAATCATGTCTCCAAATCCCTCAGTCCTACCCTCAGGACCAGGTCTAAGCTGGGCCCAACAGGAATTAAATCCCCAGGGTTTCAGGCCCCGAAGGCACTGGAGGGAGATGGGAGGCCCTGGCGTTTACGCTCTCCACTGCTCCTGCTCCTGCCCCGGAGCACTGGCGGACGAAGGTGGGTGTATAAGGCACAGTCAACTTGGTTGGCACAGAGTGGTTGGTCTCTTTGGCTTGGATTCCCACGGGAGGGGACACATGCAGAAAATGGCAGCAGGGCCCAAGACTGTCCACTGGCAGGAGCTGAGTAGGAACCAAACTCCCCCTGCTGGCAGGGGCCCTGCAGTCCAGCTAAGGCCAAAGCTGGGCCCTGACCCTTCCCACCCCGAGAAGCAGCTGTGGAGAAGGGGCTCGGGGATTGTTCTGGCTCAGTCCTCTGGAAAAGCAGCCACACAGGCCCACCCACCTCCCGATGGGGCCATCTCCAGCTGAGACTCAGTGGGGCTCAGAACCCAAGGTTAATGCTGTGAAAGAGAGAGGGAGCAGGCTGGACGGGCAGGACCAGCTGAGAGGCCAGTGCCCAAGGGCACTCGGGGTTCAGAGGCAGGTCACACAGTATGGCTAAGTTCCAGGGAGGAGCTGTGCAAAAGCTCAACAGAAGGGGAGGATCCAGCAGCCCAAGACCCTCACCAATGCAACAGCTCCTCCCTTCCCAATTTCCGGGGAGGATAACGGGTGTGCAAGGTGGTCACCCCCAGGCTGCCCACACCCATTCCAGACACTAGGTGGCACCTTCACACAGTTGCTGAAGAAGGAACAGCAGAGGGCAGACAATGGAATCCTGATGCAGGTTCCCCCAGAGGCCCCTACCTTCTGCCTTGGCTCAGGAACCTCCACCCCCAGATAGCAGCAGTGGGGCTCCCTTTAGTCCTCCACAGTGGAGCAGGAAGCACCTGGGGAACAGAACAGGTATCCAAGGGGGAGAGGGACGTGATCATAAGCTCTGCTAAGGCACTGAAGGCTGTAGGCTGAGGTGGGCAGGACCCTACTCATCATCAGAGAGAGGGCTGGGCCTAAGGCAAACCCTCTACAAGCCACCAGCATGGCCACATGGTCCAAAAGTTCCAAGGTCCATGCCATGATCTACCTGCCACCAAAGGCTCTTACCAGACCTGGAGTGAGGAAGGGTCCCTGGGGACACCATGAAGGAAGAAAGAACTTGGGTGGGAGGCAGAGTGGTATTAGACCCCGAGAACAAGCTTTGTGTCCAGCTAGACCTCTTACTGGAGCACAATCTTAAGGATCAGAATGCTAGGGAATGAAAGAGGCCAAAGAGCAAGAGGGCCCTGAGAGGAAGGGTTGTTCTAGAAGTAACTGTGGAAGAGTGCTGGGCTACTGGGCACCCTCCACCAGCACTGTGTGCCCCTCTGACTGGGCAAGAGCCAAAGGAGGAGAGAAGGGTGAAAGCCAACTCCTGTTCCTTCCCCAGCTTGCCACCAGGGCACTTGCCCACCAGAGGGGCCTCAGTGCCAAGAGAGGTTCCTCCTTTAGGAGTGTACAGAAGCCCTGCAGGCCACCTCCATTGTGTCATACCAGGCTCAGGCACAAGGTGAGGATGGAGGCAGCTGAAGGCGCAGAGAGGGAGCAGGGACCACTTTCCACCTACCCCTGGCCATGAAGGCACATCCAGAGAGGGCATCTAGCCCAGACAGCACAGCAGTGCCCCCGCCAGGCCAAACCACCCACGTCTGCACCACGGGTGGCCGCTCAGCCGTTGTACTGCTGTTGGTAACGCAGGTTGAGCTCCCGCAGCTCCCGCTCCCGCACACGGCGTGACTTGTTGGAGCGGGTGGAGCGGCTGGAGCGTGTGGACTGGGCAGATTTGGTGCTCTGGCAGCGGGAGGAGGCGCGTTTGAGGAGGTTCTGAGAGATGGATCGGTGCAGGTTCTTCATGGATGATGAGGCTGCCATGCTCACCACCCATGGGTGCCTCAGGGCCTGCAGTGCTGTCATGCGGGCGCCGGGGTCCACTGTCAGCAGGCGGTCAATGAAGTCTTTCGCCAGGTTGGACACACTGGGCCAGGGCTAGAGGTCAAGGACAAGCATTATAGCAAGGGCACTCAAAACTGCCCCATTTCCCTACCCCAACAATGCCACCAACAAAGCGCCCAGACTGGCCAACATCTCTACACTGTCCTCCTAAACAGAGAGGCAGGTACAGTCTCACTTCTCCCGAGTAGAATGCTCTGGGGCCTCTATCCCATCCAACACAGACCCAGTCTGTAGGGCTGGCCTACTCTCAGGATGACAAATCATCTGATTCTCTGACAAAGAAGATAAAGACGTATCCTATTTCCCAAGGAGAAAGCTTCTAGGGTACCTAGGATCCAAAGCCAAACTCAGGAAGAGTCCCTGGCAATGCTCCCACACCAGCTCAAGTTTTGTCCCCACCACCATAACAGGGGATTCAAAGAGGGTTACTCAACCATTCTATTAGAGTCAGACTTAAGCTTCGATCCCTAGATGGTTACTTAGAGGGGAACTTTCTAGTCCTTCCTTAAAGAGAAGATGTGACCTCCCTCCTGATGAAGTAGAGGGAGTGGGTGGCACTTTCTGCATGAGTCTGAGCCTCTCAGCCATGGGGACAAAAGGAAAGCAGAAAACTATTCAAAGCAATGAGATTGCTCAGTCAGTGGAGAAGGTGGAAGGTTCCTCCTGCAAACAAACACCAGGAGACACTGTTTCCTGGCTAGTGCTTGTATTCTGCTGAATGCCTTTAATGGCCTCAGCTGCCACCTTTTCAGTCTAGACAGGCTGTGATGAATTCATCAGCTCCCCATTATACTTTCTCTACCTTTGATCCCAGATACGGAAAAGCTTTTCTGTCTCAATAGCTGACAGAAGGAAAAACAAGTCTAAAGCCTGCATGACTGCACTAAGCCACATGGGGGCTCCCACGCATGTTCTGTACCAGCCTCACTCTACTATATTCTGTCCCTAGAGAGGAAGTCCAGATCTCCTGCCCTATCTATATTTGCCAACGGTTGCTTCATCTTAATCATGTAAGTTTCTGATTGTCCAGGGCCTGAACTGTTCATCTTCACTTGGCAGAATTGTTTCTAGGTAAGGGTTTCAGGGTAAAAGATGCTTGCACAAATTCCCTCTTAGCACTCAATGTTTCTAACAAATTGCCAGCCCATCTTTTTAAGATCATGATTTGAAGTTTATTGTTTATTGTGAAGCTGGATGAACCCCAGACCTAGCACAGCACTGGGCACACAAAAGCACTTCAATGAGTAAATAAACTGACCAAGGATGCTTCCTGATGCATGTCCTCTCTTGAAGGTGCTTGTAGGCCATAGGGTTCAGCCAAGGGGGCTAGATCCCCCAAGCCTGCAAGCCCCCACTGCTGGAGGAGAACATGCACAGCTTGCTCTGTGTCTCTGGGAGCGCTGTTGGCATGAGTTCTGGTATTGCAGGAGGGTAGACAGCCAAGCCCTTCCCTTGGCCTCCTACAGGATGACTTTACTGAAACACCAGGGATAGTGTCACCTCCCTGCTGGGGGAGAGTCCACCTGCTAAAGCCCATGTTATCCCTCACCTCGGAGGGCTCCTGAGCACGTCCTCCAGTGGTTTGGAAAACCTGTAAGAATCCACGTTCAGGGAGGCCACCATGCCTGGGTAGCAGACACATTTCCACAATGTCCACTCCTTGCCCTCGGTTGGCTCCCGTGACCTCCAGCTCTGGCCAGGTGTGGGAAAGCTCTTCAGAAATCCTAGGGAAACTTGCAGGAAAATCCTGGGGCTATTTGCAGAGGCCACCCTTACCTGCCCTTTGAAAGGTAAAGCTCAAGGCAAGGACAAGAAAATCGCATTTCCAAGTAGCCACTTGACAGTGTCCCTACCCCGGTGAGCCAGATCAAAGGGATCCTGGGGAGACACCAGCCTGCAGGAGGAAGGCAGCCCCTAGGGGCCTGAACACTCTGCAGTGTGAGAGCTATGAGCAGATGCTGGGAGACAGCAAGGCCCCACAGGCACCTGCACACAGCACTGCCCCACAGGCCTGTTTGCCCCCCCATGTGGCATGCAGGAGCTGTTGTCACTGCAGCTGTTTGGCTCACAGCTCTAGAAAGCCCCCTGGCTTGCTGCTGAGGCACTGGGAGGAGTCAGTGAAGACCCCAGACACTGTCACATCACTCCCTGGGGAGATGGAAAGCAACAGCCCAGAGGGGGTCCCTGATGGACACGGCAAACTGAGAGCTGAACTGTTTGGGTCATGAGAACGCACATCTGCTACCCTGCATGGCTGTTACAATCACCCAGCTCACCCGGGGGTGGGGGGTGGGGACTGGTGGCACAGCCCCAAGTCAGGGTTAACAGCCTGAACTAGCACACAAGGTGAGGCTGACCAGCACTCAGTCTCCACCTCCTGTTCCAGTCAAGTAACGAGAGGAACATCTAGCACATCCAGCCAGGACTGGGCACAGCCAGAAGCTCAGTCCATTAGCCAAGACTCTGGACACGACAGCCAAGAAGCTCCCCACTCACACCTTGGCCACCTGCAGCTCCAAGCCAGTTGAGCCCCTGCAGAGATGGAGTCCTGGATGGGCCGCTTGCCACACCCACCCAG